CCAATCGCATCATTAAGCGGAGCGCCTTACTATTAGCCAATTAATGAACCTTCATACGATGATTTGAGCTTAAAAATGAAACTTTTGGACAAACTGCCTTATATTTTCGGACGGAGGAAGTAAAAGGCAGTCTATTTATTGTGCGTTTCACTTATTTTGCCAGGTAGAGTGTAATAAATCCGTCGGAATTAGACCCATGAAAATGCTGTTATTAAATACTTCCTCCGGGATGGAATAATTGCAACATTGCACTTTTACGGTAAATTACCCCTATAAACAAATAAATTACCTCTGTAAACGAATGATTCATGAGCTCAGTCATAATGCATTGCTGCGCTGATGGTGATCTTGTCGACTTTGAAGCGTTCAGATGCCCGGATACACATCTACCAGTCCGGGCCGCCCCTGACGCGACGCACCACACAAAGATCCTGGCATCATGCCACACCTGCTTTCAGAGTCTGAGAGCTTGGCTTGGAAACGGTCGTGGAGGTGGCCGGCCATGCGTACAGGAATTGGTGAGTAACTGGTGTTAAGGGTGTGCAATGGTGACCTGGCGGAGAGCACTCTTTCCGCCATAACTTCTTCATTTGAAGAGCCTTTTACACGCTGAAACTAGCGTTGAAATGAAGAGATCAAACCGCGTCGAGTGCACTAATCAGCGTATTGAAACCCTCCCTCCAGGAGAAACTGCACTTTAGCATTTGGAGATTGTGAATAGAAAAATAATGCTAATTAAGCATAAGATTCAGAATTCTTCCCCTACACCGTTGACCAACTTGTTGGATACAAACGGCGGAGACGCCGCGTTACTGCGGAATGGCGGTCAGCAACCCACCAAATGTCTTCATATCCTCTTACTCGGGCTTGATTAGCACATCCCGTCTTAAAACATGCTCATGACCTCCGCTCTATGAGGCAACAGGCTCACAAACCTGCAATATGAGGCAATCCATAATTAACATGGAATTAGATGACCAAAGGGCATAATTAAGGCTGAGAAGTGAATAGAATTAAGGCCAGAATAGAATGTACAAAACCGATGTTATTTAATAATCGGGTATGTAAATCTTATCCGGCATACTGCATTCAAGATGGATCATCGATTGTAACAAGACAGAACTCGAGACCGAAATGATCATAACCTCCAGCAAATTACAGTCTAACTGTCGATGTTATCTTGTACACTGGTCGTTTCTTTCTAAAAAGGCCAATTAATAGAAACATATCCCTATTGTAAGAAACAATTCCCTACGGTCCCAATGAACCCGGTTTTTTGTTTTGGAACCAGATCGGATGGTGATGCTTCCCTATCCGAAGATAGCCGGAAATTCTCCGTATGCTGGTCTTGACAAGGACTCAGTAAATTATGTGGCCGCTCTACACGAACTCAGCGCCACTTCGCAATCTGCGTTCAAGGAGCTCCAGTAAATACGCAGTCCACATCTAAGTTACCAACAGAAATGCGTTTGAATCACGTCGTATTGGCAACTGCTGTCGCTCTGTATGCAAGCAGCGACCTCATTGTGGCTGAGACCACTCGCGATCTGTTGTCCTTTGACAACTTTAAAGAGGAGCGTGCTGCTACGAAGACCGCGACTAAGACTGTAGCTTCCACGTCGGGTTCGGACAGTGACTCTGGTGTCACCCAGGTGCAAAACCATAACTCAGTAGAGGAAGATGCTTCGGGCAGTAGTGGCAGTTCATCTCTCGCAGCTACCAAAACCACCAAGGCTACCAAGGTCACCAAGGCTCCGGCGACGAAAAAGAAACATGCAGTCCTTGCCGCGTCAGGTTCCAGCGGAGAGGACAGTGGATCGGACGACTTGTTCTCTTTGAGCGGTAGCGAGCTGGACGCATTGCTGAGTTCACTGGGTGGCAGTGAGCTAGGCGACTGGAGTGGCAGTGGTTTTGATGACTTGTTGCTCTCTATGAGCGACAGCGGACTAGATGACTTGCTGCTTTCGTTGAGCGACAGCGACTCTGGTAGTGACGAGTCTACCGCCGATACCGATGAGAGGAAGAAATTTACGTTGAAGAGGAAGAAAAAGTCGAAGACCAAGACTTCTGCTTCGGGATCCAGCGCGTCGGGCAGTGACATGAGCGGTTCGCTTGAAAGTGACAGCGCGTCGGGCAGTGACATGAGCGGTTCGCTTGAAAGTGACAGCGCGTCTGACAGTGAGCTGGGTGACCTGTTCGCCGATCTGTTCTCGAGTGACAGCACTTCTGCCAGTGGCTCGGACGACCTGCTGTCTAGCGACAGCGCATCTGGCAATGATTTGGATGACCTGTTCTCCAGCAGTGATCTCAGTGACCTACTCTCGAGTGATAGCACGTCTGGCAGTGGCTTGGATGACTTGATTTCAAGCGACAGCGCCTCTGGCAGCTTGGATGACTTGTTTGCCGACCTATTTTCGGACGCTTCGGGGTCGAGTGGTGATGGAAGTGACTTGAGCGATTTGCTGTCTTCCAGCTCAAGCGACAGCAGCTCGGGTAGCGGGGTTTCCACGAAAAAGAAGACGAACGGAAACGACGAGATTGAATCCTGCAATGGAGGCTGGTGGGGCCACATGAAATCGTGGTGGAAGAATACTTTTGGCAACGGGGACAACTCGGCCTGCTCCCTGCGTTCTGGTTGAGATCAAAAGTGCGATCATACGGCGTGTAAGCATGAATTTATACATGCATCTTTGCAATTGACGGTTTTCATTTCGCGAGATGGCAATAGTACCGTAGAGACTTCCGGTATTGTCGTGGGACAAATATTACTAATTTTGCATAGTACTGTCTATTATGAAAAATATAAGTCCTCAGCACAATACTAATAATGTTTGTCAGTGAGAAAATTGATAGTACGATAATGCGTTGTAGGTCGCACTACTATTACTATAATACAAGCCGTGCGCCGCTGTGCGGCGGTAATTTATGTGTTTCCCGCCCCCGCTTCGCTTCGGCGGGATTGCACCCTTTCTAAACGACCATTTGTTTGTCGATTACCCTTAAATGTTCCCTTTACCCATTTATCGATTACTTTTAAATATTTCATTTAACTCTGCAATTACTTATCACTTTATAACAATATCTTTGAAGTCTAATCTCCAAGTTGAGCAGTGCAATCCACAGGTATAATGTGCTTGTTTTTTTTTGTTTACTATCATAGCCTCCTGCATATAACTATGCCAACACGTTAAAGCTTTTCTCTCATTCATTGTACTATACATTTTATTTACGAATGTTTAGGATAGTTTGGTGCCCTAATGCTATTAACAAGCGTTTTATTGTTTTTATATTCACTACTCGAGCATTTTGGAGTGTGCAGTCTGGAGTGTTTCCTCAGTTCAATGTATTGTTCGAGCACCAATGTGATTTTTTTTTTGGGATTTTGCGCTACACTATCGATATGGCCAGTCTGCTTCAGATTAAGTGTCCACATTTCCAGTGGGTTTGAGTGCGTTGACCATTTAGCGATGAACTCAAGCACCCCCTCATAATTGTCTAAAACTTGTCGCATCCACTATCACAACTATTTGTAAACAAAACTTATGTTCTAACAATTTTAGATTGTTATTAAAAAGTCAACTGTTCGAATTTATATAAATAATGTTCAGTCTTTTGGAAAAATAGCGTGATTGGTATCCCTGTCCTTGCTGGGACCAAAGCGTAAAGCGCTATAGAGAATATAATCAAGTTAGTTCTACATTATGGTATTAGTAGCGATTTTGTATCTGTTATTGTATCTGGAACTAAATGCTATTATGACTCGAATAAACTTATGTATATTAGCAACTGTGACGGGGTCACACAGCACCTTGTGCAGAGGAAGTTTATTTCCTCTAGAGTATACAAACTCTAAATGAACGACCGTTCA